AAGGCCAATGTGGTGGCGGATGCCTTGAGCCGCCGGGCGGAGAGTTTGGGCAGTTTGGCATATTTACCAGCTTCGGAGAGGCACAGACTCCCGCAGCCCGTACTCCAGAGTAGCGGGCTCAGGTCGACCAGGTTCCCGAGATTATACTTATACAGCCGGTAGCTCCAACCTAGCCCGAGACTAGTGTAGTAGCTTCTGCGGCGGAGCAGCTCAGACTGGAGAGATACAAGAAGTACCATCCTCCTACCTTCAGTGGATTGGAGATAGATGATGCTCAGGGATTTCTAGAAGAGTGTCACTACATTCTCTGTACTATGGGTGTAGCGGAGTCGAGTGGGTTTTCTTTTACTACATTCCAGCTTAGAGGAGCTGCCTATCAGTGGTGGCGTGCTTATGAGTTGAGTAATCCGACTGAGGCAACTTCACTTACTTGGACTCAATTCTTAGACATGTTTATGAGAGAGTATGTCCTTCAGAGCCTCAAGGACGCATGGCAGGCGGAGTTTGAGCAGCTGCACCAGGGTACTATGACTGTGTCAAAGTATGCAGTTCACTTCACTGATTTGGCCCGACATGCACCAGCCTTGGTTTCCATAGTTCGACAGAGGATTTGTCGGTTTATTGAGGGACTCCACCCAGTATCAGGATTAGCATAGCCCGGGAGGGAGATGGATATTTCTTATCAGCAGGTTGTGAATATTTCTAGGAGATTGGAGGGTATGCTTGCTCGGGACAAAGAGGAGAGGGAGGCCAAGAGGTCTCGAGAGTCTGGAACTTATAGTTGTTCTCGTGCCCCAACAACTCGCAATGATAGGGGTTATGTGAGTTGCCCCGTTCATTCAGTACTTCTAGCCGCCAGTGGTGTTCCAACCCCTTCTAGGCCTGATCATAGGCTAAAAACTCGTGTTTTAGTCGTTGTAACAACACTTTATTTATTGCATTTTACAAAGGTTTGAGCTTAAATAATATGAATTGTACTAAATTCATGCTTTATGCTTTGCAGGAAGCGATTCCAACTTAAGAATTAAATTTGGGATGAATTTGATTAATTTGGGGCTTTGAAGTCTGAGTAAAAGCTAAATAAATCAAATTGGGATCGTGTTCGGGGGTCGCATAGCAAGCCCGGATAGAAAAACAAAAGAAAAAATGAAGCAGCGCAGATACACTGCCGCGGCGCGGGGCGCGCCGCGTGGGGTGCCGCGGCAGTGCAGTTCCAGCGAAAAAATTGTTTTGCTCCATTAAATTGTATTCCGCCTCTGTCCAATCCATGTACGCGGCGCACGGGGCGTCGCGGGGTGCGCCGTGGGTGTGTAAAAATCGCATAAATATTCTATTTTGGTCTTAAAAGGGCATAATTATCAAAACCCCTTCTTACACGATAAAAGGGGTAAAGCTTCCATTATTGAAGAACCAGACCTGTTTTTAGAGAGAAAAGAAGAGGAGATTCATCAAGAAGTATCAAAAATAAGAGGAACAACACTTTGGAGCAAGGATTAAAAGAGTTTTTCTAAACTTTCTTCTAGTATCTATTTATTTGATGTTTAAGAGTTATATTGTTGATGTTTGTATGAATATGAGTGGCTAAAAATCCCAAATATTCTGGGGTCATGGATGTTAGATGATTATGTTGTTAGAAGTTTAAATTGATGATCTTGAATTTATCGTTATGGGTTGTTTATTTGATTCTGCTTTTAACTATTTTACTGCGTAGCTAACAGTGAAATACTATTTATGAATCTTGGGTTAAACTTGAAAAAGGAAATTCTTGATTGCATACAGAATTAAATAGAACAATATCTTGATCCTGGGCATCGGGTGAAAGATTCGCGATTAAGATAGAAATATACTTAATTTCCTTATTTGGTTGAAAAATAGGAATTGTAAATGCATTTTAGTTAATATTAATCCCTTAGAAATATAGGTATTAATTTAACTTGAATAGGTGCATAAGAATTCGGCAGATTCTTATGGATATTATTAATCCTATAATCAATAACTTAGATAATTCAATAAATCATTCTTAAGCTAAGAGCGTAGCATGATCTCTAGCAAGCCCATGACCCTGGAATATCTTTTATATTAATTGTTAAAAGAAAATTGCATAAGTGTCGTAGTAAACTTTGTGTTGTATTATTGTTTGATTTTTAGTTAATTTGTAAATTGGTTATTTATGTTTTTGTGATAAATTAGCTTAAATTGATAATTGTTTGAGTTTGCATCAGCCGAGAAGTTGATCATAATTCCTCGTGGGAACGATACTTTACTTATTACTATATTACTTGTCGATCGCGTACACTTACGTGAGTGTTTTGGTCGCAACAAGGCCCCATGAGCCTTATTATGCACCGCCAGTATCTAGTGTGCCTCCTGCACGGGGTGTTTCCGGCGGTCAGTCCAGCAGACCTGGCCCAAGCCAACCACAGTAGCCACGCCCTCCCAAATCTTGTTTTGAGTGTGGAAACACTCACCATATGGTAAGGGATTGCCCCAGACTTAGGAGAGGTACACCTCCATAGACTTCTCAACCACAGCGTGCTCCACCGGGTCATCAGGCTATGATTACAGCACCAGTTGGCACCCCACTTGCTCAGCAAGCTCGAGGTGGAGGTTGTTAAGTTGAATTCCAAGGTTTCAATGATGACAATGTTCACTTACCCTATTTTGCAAGAATCATCAAAAGGAAAGAAAATCAATGAGAAGCTATCTAAAGATGGACCTGAAGAAGGAATCAAAAGTCTACATAACTATTCGGCCTCAATCAAGGAAATCAGATTTCAAATCAAGGAGTTATTGCCAACAAATATTCAGTATCCTTAATTAAAGCTCAGTCAAAGGCTTGATTGTCTCGTAAATGAGTGTTGTAACAAGGTCAAATCCGTTTAAAGATCACGTGCCTCTATTCTTGGTCAAGACTCAACGGCTCTTTTCTATCCTATAAGAAGGCTACTAAGGTCAATTGGAAAACTTGTGTAACTACACACATTATTTTCTAAGTCTCTCTACTTCTTAGCCTAAACACTGTAATCTTGAGTTTACCAGTGTCTCAAAAGATAGGAAGAGTTAGAACAAAAAAGAAAGTTGTGTCATTATTAGAGATTCAGTGTTGATGTACTTCGTTGGTGGTGAATGAATCAAAACCATCCTTGTTGTAATACTTTCAAGATCTAAAGGGAACCCTTGTAACCCAAGGGAAACTGGATGTAAGTACCACACCGGTACCGAACAAGTATAAAATCGATGCGTGTCACTCTTTCTGTTTACTGTTATTTTACATTCTGCTCTCGATCTAGTCAACTAAAATCATCGTTAGTCGACTAATTTTTAATAGACCACAATTCACCCCCCCCTCTTGTACTTTAAATTGGTATCAGAGCAAGGCTCACAAACTTTGCTTAACAGCTAGTGAGGAAAAGATCATGGGATCAAACACAGTTGTTGGTGCACTATTTCAAGAGGGAACCTCTCAAGTTCGACCACCATACTTCAATGGACAACACTTCTCTCATTGAAAAGTGTGTATAGAAATATACACCATGTCATATGACATCAAAGTCTAGTGAGTGATCAAAAAGGGAAATATTCCATTTCCCCCAAGGAAAGACAAAAATGGTCAAGTAATAGTATCCGCTGATCTACTTGACTTAGATGACTACACTGATGAGCAAGCTGCTATCATAACTGTGAATGCCAAAGCAAAATATCTGCTGCACAATGCTTTTATTGGTAAAGAATATGAAAAGATCTCAAGTTGTGAAACTGCTAAGGAGATGTGGGACAAATTAGAAGTCACATATGAAGGGACTAACAAGGTAAAAGAAACGAGGATAAATCTATTGGTTCATGAGTATGAGATATTTCAAATAAAGGACAAAGAATCTGTTGAAGAAATGTTCTCCAGGTTCAACAAAGTTCTTGGAGATCTAAAATCCTTTGGTAGAACAATAAAAAGTAGAGAACAGGTTAGAAAAATTCTCAGAAGTCTACCTACAATATGGCAGCCAAAGGCCATCGCACTCGAATGTCAGGACCTTGACAATATGTCCTATGATGAACTTAGAGGTGATCTAATAGCTTTTGAGAAAACTCACTGGGATCGAAAGATTCAACAAGAAAAAAAGAAAACAGTCACCTTCAAAGCAACTCTAGCTGAACCAGAAGATGAAGAAGAAAATGAAGGAAGAAAACATGATGAAAATATAGCCATGCTTTCTCAAGTTGTAACTAGCATGATGAAGAAAAACAGAAATAGCATAAGAGGTAAACCAAACTTCAGAATGGGAAGGATAAACAATGAAATTGATGGAAGATGCTATGAATGTGGTAACATGGACACATTCAAACTGATTGTCCAGAACTAAAGAAGAAGCTGAGCAGGAATCTTCAAAGGAAGAAGTCTTTTGGAGCCCGGTGTAATGAAGAAGAGTTTGATCATGAAGAAATTGCAAATATATGCTTCATGGTCATAGAAGATGATAGCAACAAAGAATCAGGAGAGCGAGGGTTCTCAGGAAACAGATGAGCAAATGAAGAAGAAGACTCAGATCAACTTGGTCTCATGGCAGACGAGGAAACTAGTGAGGTACGTCCCCTAAATTTCCCTAATTGTTATGAACTCCAAGAATTCGTTGATATTGCTCTTGCAGATATTGAAAGAGTTCCAAATGAACTTAGAAAGATTTAAAGAGAAAAGAAAGAATGGTCCCTGAAGCTAGAAGTTTGTGAAATTGAACGTGATATGCTACAGGAAGAGGTTAATGAACTTTAACTTCAATTGAACGGATTGCAAAAATCCACCTGTCATAGTTCAGTCAAATCAAATCAGATTGTTCGTCACAAACAGAAAAAATTTCATGGATGTTCCTTTTGTGGTAAAAATGGGCATAATACTAACCAATGCAGGAACAGAATCAAAGTAGAAAAAGATTCTGAGAATTCAAATAGTCCATCGTATTTTTATTGTGGTAAAAAGGACCACACCTCAAATCGCTGCAGGTTCAAGGATGACAGATGATGGGTCTGGCGACCCAAATCTTCAAATCAAGCTAACACTCACCATTCTAACCTTTCAGGACCCAAGCAAGCTTGGGTACCTAAAAATAAGTAATTTTGTTTTACAGGAACACCTCAAAAAGAATCGAAAAGGAAAATGGTATCTCGACAGCGCGTGTTCCAGACATATGACTGGTGACAAACAATTGTTCAAGACAGTCATCAAACTAGACGGAGGAACAATCACATTTGGAGACAAATCCAAGGAAAATGTAATTGGTGTCGGAAAAGTTCCTCTAAGCTCAACATGTGATGTAGATGAAGTCTATCAGGTTGATGAACTCGGCTACAACCTTCTCAGCATTAGTCAACTATATGAAAAAGACTATGAGGTTCGTTTTAAGAAACATGGTTGGTTTATAGAAGATGAATCAGGTAAAGTTATTCTTTCAGGTAACAGATATAGAAATATCTATACCATTAGCAACCTAGATAATCTTGGGGATCAAATCTGACTTGCCTCTATAGTTGATGATCCCTGGGTCTGGCATAGAAAACTTGGTGATGCCAGCATGCATACTATTCAAAAGCTTTCTAAACATGATCACATTATTGGACTTTCTAAACTAGATTTTTCAAAGGATCATATTTGTGATGCATGTCAACTAGGTAATCAAACTTGCTCATCTTTCAAAATCAAGAATTTTGTTTCCACCTCAAAAGCTCTTCAACTATTGTATATGGATTTGTTTGGTCCAACTAGAACTGCTAGTATAGGTGGTAGAAAATATGCTTTTGTTACAGTGGATGATTTCTCTAGATTTACCTAGGTTATGTTTTTGAGTCACAAAGATGATGCTCTAAAGAATTTTGAACTTTTCTATAAGAAGATTTAGCAAGAAAAGGGTTACTACATCTCTTCTATCAGAAGTGATCATGGAGGAGAATTTGAAAGCAGAGCTTTTGAAAACTTTTACAATGATCAAGGAATCTCTCACAACTTCTCTTCACCAAGATCTCCGCAACAAAATGGAGTGGTAGAGCGTAAAAATAGAACCCTACAGGACATGGAAAGGACCATGATTGTGGAAAATTCTCTACCTCACTGTTTCTGGGCAGAAGCGGTAAGCACAGCATGTCATATTATCAACAGGTGTCTGATTTAACCTATTCTCAAAAAGACTCCTTATCAACTATGGAATGGTAAGAAACCCAATATTAGCTATTTTCACCCTTTTGGATGCAAATTCTTCATTCACAATGATGGAAATGATAATTTGGGTAAGTTCGATCCTAAAAGTGATGAAGGTATATTTCTTGGTTACTCTCCATCAACTAGAGCATATAGAGTTTACAATAAAAGAACTCTTTGCATTGAAAAATCAATTTATGTTGTTTTTGTTGATACTAACCCTCGTCCAAGGAATGAAAAACCTCCTGAAGATGAGAAAATTCCTTTTGTCCCTAAATTTGTCATTACAGGAAAGGATCATCAAAGTGAATCAGCAAACTCAACCAGCTGATGTACCTGTAGAAATTCACGAATCATCTCAAACAGATCAGTCGACTAATGTAGAAAGAGATGTTCCCTCAAACACCCCAAATGACTCGAAAAGTGAACCTGGCTATCCTCACAAGTTTATTATAGGAGATCCATATGAAGGAATCACTACAAGAAGATCTCAGAAGAACAAATATCATGTGGCTCTTATTTCTCAACTTGAGCCAAAGAAAGTGGATAAAGCTCTGAAAGATACTCACTAGATAAGTGCTATGAAAGAGGAACTAGATCAATTGAAAGAAACAAAGTATGGGAATTGGTTCCAAGACCTTCCAACTCCTCAATCATTGGAACTAAATGGGTATTCAGAAACAAATTGAATGAATGAGGTCAAGTGGTTCGAAATAAAGCAAGATTGGTCGCTCAAGGATACTCTCAGCAAGAAGGAATTGACTATGACGAAACCTTTATTCCTGTAGCAAGACTTGAATCCATTCGAATATTACTTGCATTTGCTGCTCATTAAGGTTTCAAGCTGTTTCAAATGGACGTTTAAAGTGCATTCCTAAATGGCTACATCTCTGAAGAAGTATATGTAAATCAACCATCAGGATTTGCAAATGTCACCTTTCCTGATGATGTATACAAGCTGACTAAAGCGTTGTATGGTCTCAAACAAGATCCACGTGCCTGGTATGAAAGGTTAAGTTCTTTTCTTTTAAATCAAGGGTTCAAAGAGGTAATATCGATACAACCCTTTTTATTAAGCATTCTAGTTCAGGTAATCTTATTACTCAAATTTATGTTGATGAAATTATTTTTTGTAGTCCTAAATCTGCTTTATGTGAAGATTTTGCTCTTTCCATGAAAGGAGAATTCGAAATGAGCATGATGGGAGAATTGACATTCTTTCTCGGGCTTCAAATCAAACAGTCTCCTAAAGGAAATTTTTTATTAGCCAAACTAAGTACACTAAGGAGCTTATCAAAAAGTTTGGCATGGAAAATGCAAAGTCAATCAGCACTCCAATGAGTCCAACAACAGTGCTCGATGAAGACAACAGTGGAAAACGGGTTGATGAAACCATGTATAGAGGGATGATTGGACCCCATTGTATCTCACTGCTAGTCGACCAGATATTATGTTCAGTATATGCAAGTGTGCAAGATTTCAATCGGCTCCAAAGGAATTATTAGAATCTAATTGGCACTTCTGATCTAGGATTATGGTATGACCGTTCAAACAATTTTGCCTTAAAAGGTTTCTCAGATGCAGATTTTGCAAGTGACAAGACTGATAGGAAAAGCACTAGCGGCACGTGTCAACTCTTTGGAAATGCATTAGTGTCTTGGCATAGCAAGAAAAAAATTGTGTTGCCCTATCAACGACTAAAACAGAATATTTAGCTGTTGGAAGTTGTTGTACACAAGTTCTATGGATTATGCATCAACTTCTCGACTATGATTTATCTCTTTCTTCTACTCCTATATTTTGTGATAAAACCAGTGTTATTTGCTTATCAAAAAATTCTGTGCATCATTCTACAGCAAAGCATATAGAAATTAAGCATCATTTTATCTGTGATCATGTCACTAAAGGTGATATTGTGTTAGAATTTATTAGTACTGATTCTCAACTTGCCGATATTTTTACAAAATTTTGGAAGAAAAATTTTGTTTTCTCAGGAAAAAGGTTGGCATTTTGCCAAATTTGTAAATCAAATCTTTTTACCGTGTTCTAAATATTTTATTTCCTTAAGTATGTGTGGCTTAATTAATTTTTGTATAGGTTTAATAATTGCTTCTTCATCAGTGCCTTCGATCAGTCACTTCAGAAGTATCACTTCCTTCTGAACCCGCCTTTTCCTTTAACTAAGGCGACCCTTCATTACTCCAAAAGCATCGATAAGAACCCTCCCATCTCTGTTACTTTCTTCATTCTTACCAAACAAACTTTCTCACCATGTCCAAAAGAATCCCACTTCCTCCACTGCAACCAGAAGAAGCCGAAGGTTTCAAAAACCCCTCAACCTTGAAGAACCTATAAATTTGGAGTCATCTATTGACTCAGATTTCCTCAAAACGGATAATGATAGTAGTGAATCCTCTGAAAATCCTCCCATTAGTTAGAAAAATGCAGGAAAAAGACTCGTGGAGAAAACCTCCAAAAAGGTTGCATGCAAGAAAGGAAAGGTTGAGAATACTGAATTCAGACCTGAGGACAAGTTGATCTTTTATGGCCCGACTGAAAAAGCAAGGTTTGATTCCTACAAGTCAAAATCTATGGCTTATGGACGCTCTATATTTCTCTCATGAAAAATCTGCATTGTGATGTGACCTCTATATTTGATTTTCAGCATCTTTCTTCTCTATTTAACACTGTTGGTAATTCTGTTTATGAGGAACATGTGAGGTGTTTTATGCAAACTTGTTTGTGAATGAAAAAGATGACCTAGAATCTATGGTGTTAGGCACTAGAATAGTTCTGGACTCTTATCAATTTTAAAAGATTTTCTCTGCTAAGTTTATTGGGTTTAATATTTTTGTGCGAAATTCTTGGCCAAAAGATTTTAAAGTATCCTTTGAAGAAGCCAAAGTCTTTTTATCTAATAACCCCCATGATATTGGCCCCAAGAACCTAAAGTTTGAGCATCGTGTCTTGGCCCACATGATTGCTACCACTTTACTCTCCAGAACTGGGTCCCTTAGCTCTTTATCCACTAGAGATGTTTTTATCCTTTACTATCTTGTTGATAATAAAAGACTGGATTGGTTTGTGTGGATTCGTCAATACATGCTTGAAAGTATTAGGGACATATCTTCCTTTGCTACTTGTTTACCATATGCTCTGCTCATCTCACACATCCTCAAAGTTATGAAGGTAGATTTGGCACCCTTTACACCCAAGCACATTACCAACACTTATGATAAGACAACATTTTCAATGATGGGGTACACCTTAGGTGATGATGGATGGGTTAAACACGCCAAAATTAGCAGTATTCCAGTGCCAGTTGAAGTTCAAACTAGACAACCAGCATCTCAGTCGACTGCCTCTCAAAATTTTTAGCAGATGCAAAAATATTTGGATGAGGTGAAACAACTAGTGGTTGAGATGAAGGAACAGGTGGATAAAATCAGGGAAGATACTAAGGAGACAGGTACAGATGTGGCTAAGCTCAGAATGGATATAGGAGCTACGCGGAGACAAGGAGCCAGGGCTTTCAATTCTATGACTGAAAAGATGGATAAGCTTGTCAAAGATGTCGAGAATTCCTATTACTCCTTCTGCACCAAAGTGATCACACCCTCAAGTACTTCCTTGGAAGAAACTAATGTGTATTCGTGTGATGGGTTCAAAAAAATTATTTTCTCTTTTCTTGTTTTTGCTTGCTTGTTGGTAGTCCTTGTAAACTTTTTTTTAGTCTGTATAACCTATGACTCTACTGAAGGCATTACTTTTGCTGCACTATCTAGCTAGTTTTTATGTATATTACTTCTTATATTACGTGTCTTGGTTGTTTTCTTTCCCTTTTTGATTGATGTCAAAGGGGGAGAATAGGTAAGAGAAGTAAACATGTAGAAAAGTAACTCAACCTCTCAGGGGGAGCAAGCATCAAGCCGGGGGGAGGAACCTAGGAAGTGAAATAAAAAGGGAAGGCTCATAATTATTGTTTATTCCCTCTTTATTGTCATCATCAATAAAGGGGAGATTGTTAAGTTAAATTCCAAAGGTTTCAATGATGACAATGTTCACTTACCCGATTTTGCAGGAATCATCAAAAGGAAAGAAAACCAATGAGAAGCTATCTAAAGATGCGATTGCTAAATCAATGGATCTGAAGAAGGAATCAAAATTCTGCAAAACTATTCGGCCTCAATCAAGGAAATCAAATTTCAAATCAAGGAGTTATTGCTAGCAAATATTCAGTATCCTTAATTAAATCTCAATCAAAGGCTTGATTGTCTCATAAATGAATGTTGTGACAAGGAAAGTCACGATCGAATCCGGCTCTTCCCAAGAGCAGGATTCGAAGAGGCACCCCTTATGTCAAATCCTTTTAAAGATCTCGTGCCTCTATTCTTGGTTAAGACTCAACGACATTTTTCTCTCCTATAAGAAGGCTGCTAAGATCAATTGGAAAACGTGCACAACTACACACATTATTTTCTAAGTCTCTCTACTTCTTAGCCTAAACACTGTAATCTTGAGTTTACTAGTGTCTCAAAAGATAGGAAGAGTTAGAACACAAAAGAGAGTTGTGTCATTATTAGAAATTCAATAGTTGTTGTACTTCGTTGGTGGTGAACGAATCAAAACCATCCTTGTTGTAATATTTCAAGATCTAAAGGGAACCCTTGTGACCCAGAAAAACTGGATGTAAGTACCACACCGATACCGAACCAGTATAAAATCTCTGTGTGTCACTCTCTTTCTGTTTACTATTATTTTACATTCTGCTCTCGATCTAGTCAAACTAAATCATCGTTAGTGACTTAATTTTAATACGACCACATCCCACCCCCCCCCCCCGTTGTACTTTCAAAGGTCAAGGTTGCACTAGAGGGGAAGCCATGCCAGATATCATGCTCTTCCAGCTCGTACTGAGGCAGTTGCTTCTGATTTTATCATTATAGGTATTGCCCCGGTCTGTCATAGAGATGCGTCGGTACTATTCAATCCAGGATCTACATATTCCTATGTGTCCTCTTATTTTACCCCGTACTTGGGAGTATCTCCGGAGTCTTTGAGTTCTCCTGTTTATGTGTTTACTCCTGTGGGAGATTCTCTTGTGTGAACCGCGTGTATCGGTCGTGTTTGATTGTTTTTAGTAATTTTGAGACCAGAGCTAATTTATTATTGCTCAACATGGTAGACTTTGATGTTATCTTAGGCATGGACCAGTTGTCGCCCCATTATGCTATTCTTGATTGTCATGCAAAGACCGTGACGCTGGCTATGCCAGGTTTACCGCAATTAGAGTGGAGGGGTACCTTAGAGTATACTCCCAACAGAGTTATTTCATTTCTTAAAGCTCAACGAATGGTTGAGAAGGGGTGTGACGCGTGTCTATCTTATGTGAGAGATGTCAGTATTGATACCCCTACAGTTGAGTCATTTCTAGTAGAGAGGGATTTTCCAGATGTATTTCCAGGTGATCTTCTGGGCATGCCGCCCGATAGTGATTTTGATTTTCATATTGATTTGTTGTCGGGCACTCAGCCCATCTCTATTCCTCCATATCGTATGGCTCCTCCTGAGT